ACTACTATTATTTCACTGTACTTGAAACTAATAATGATTTTCTAGGAACGCCTATAACTGCACTCTTCCAGACCTTAATATGAACTTCTGGCTGTCCCTCCTTTGTTGGCACCATAGAAGGAGCTTTATTGTGAACACATTAGTGCTGACATCTGTCATAGTACCCTGTTATCATCACAAAAGTACATCAGTTTGATACCAGGTTATTTACAGTCTGCTTTTAGGTCACGGGCTTGAGTTGGAAGCCAAGTCCACCATCCTCCCCACTTAGTTATGGCACTATTAACACTAACTTTGCACAATACAGAGTTAGGGAGCACATGTGCTAGACCAGCCTCAGTACTGCACACTGTGATCTGGTGCTAATACACTTACATAACCCAGACTTGGTCCTTAACACTGCTTCTAGCGTTGGGGTATCCTAGGAAGCAACTCAGATGCAGGAAACATTGAAGACTAGACATTGAAATTTCAAGGCTGACAAAGCTTAATAACTACTTAAGTGAAAAGCTGGCAGGACTCAAACACTGTGATTCCTCTTACTTTTCTGACATTTTACAAACATGTTTTCTCTCCTTGCTAGTAGAAGGTGGTCTGACAAAAAAAAATTGTTGCACATCTGCAGAACACAGATAGTCTGCCACTAGTCTAAAGGATGCAGGCCTAAGCCCAGCTACCCTTTAACTCAAGTCCTCAGCAGAACTCATTTGTTCCACCACACAGCTGCTAAATGTTGCTATCATGCTCAATCTCCTGCCAATGTTAAAAAGTTTCATTTTAGTCTCTCTTTAAAATAGATTCTAGTTGTATCACTCAATTTGATTCCACTAACTGGGAACACAAATTTGGCAAGAATGGTAGTGATGAAAAAAAGCTATGCAGCAATTAAATAGTAAAAAAAATTTACAGAAATATGGGACAATAGAGTTTTTATAATAACAAACAGGAACAGTATGCTTATCAACCAAAGGATACATCAACCAATTCAAGAGGGACCTTTATATCAAAGGGTGACCCTACAGAGAAACGGAAAATAACTTTAAAGTACTCCAGATCATATCACATTCTCTCTGCATCACCACCCCAAAAAATGCCTATAGGGAATTCTGTGAATTGTTTCCCCAGATGCTTTGCACACCAGCTGGTTAGGATTAAACATCTTGCCTGCGGCAGCTTTTAGGCCTTGAGGCCTGGCATTTTTGACAATGTGATGAACAGGGTACAATTGTGTATACTCCATATGCTTAAGATAATCTAGAGTGCCAGAAACACTCCTAAATCCATGTACAGCAGTGATAAAGGTTATTAGAAAGTTACAACAGCTATTCTTCAAGTTGGAAACTTACAGCTCTACAATTTCCTTTCTTTGCAAGTATAAAGGCATAAAATGTTCAAGATTAAATGTTGAGAATTATCTGTGCCTCTGATATTCTGTTACTTTAAATATAAGTCATAAGTCTACTTGCAGAATGGAGGGCTTGTGAGCACTTTACATCACAAAGATCACAAATGAACAACAAACCACAAAGATGACCAGAACTTTGCAATTACAGTGTTCATACAATGGATGCAGTCAGACACTGACCTCACTGTCAATGACAACATGCAAGTGAAGGGAAGTATCTCCCCTAAAGGGAAAAAACAACCACAGACATACACTGTTTTGTTTTTACTTGCACCAAACACACTATAACCATAGAATTGTTAAGGTTGGAAGGGCCCTTAAAGATCATCTAGTTCCAACCCCCCTGCTCTGAGCAGATGAATTTTCATGGTAGACTTCTGTCTAAATTTCAAATTTCAGCAAAAACAGGTGGCAATTTCTGAATTTTAGATAAAACCCTCAAACTTCAACTACAAGCTAAGCTCTGAAAAAGAGAAAGGATCTCCTTGAATACAATAGCTATCAGCTACGTCACTGTTAAGATGATTAACAGTTGCCATCAGAACATCAACTTGTTTGGCTCAAATGCTACTGTTTATGGTCTTAAAGCTTATATACCCAACTAGTTTCAAGACTTGCCTTCCAAGAATGCTTCCCATTCTGCAAAACATGTTTTTCTAACAAGTACAGAAACTGTAGCATGAACATGTGTTTTCCTACACATTCGCACTCACTACCTGGTAATAACCTGATGATGACAGTTTTCTGTTAGCAGCTTCATTGTTTAGTGTCTACCAAAAAAGTTGCAGGAACATTTTTAAGAAAGAGGAAAACATGTACAGTGACCTTACCCATAAGCAAATGTGGTTATTAATTTCAGGGATACAGAAAATATATCCTGCTAAAATGAGTTTACTGCCTGCATGCTGCATTATGAGGATTCCTGTATACAGTAAGAAAAAGTTTAATAAGATGCCTAAGTTGACTTGGCTGGATTTAAAAGCCCTTTCCTAATATCACCCTCAGGCACACAGAGTTCAGCACATCAACATTCACCATTTTCTATTACAATGCTATTTAGAATTCAAATCTGTATCTCTGGACAAACAATACAAGTGCTTTTTTTTTTTAAAAAAAAAAAAGCTATCTGGAATATTTTCTTTCATTGTTAGGAATGAGATAAGGACCTCAAACTTACTTAAACTCAAATGAGGTAGGTAAAACTATTGTGACCCAAACTATGAACAATGACTAAGTGCACAAAACCAGATGCATTACTTTTGTCATGGCAGCAGGTAGTTTATGGCTGCAGAGGGAAAAGGGGTATATTTTGCTTTCTATGAGAAAATACACTGTCATGGCAGAACATGTAATTATGCAATTCTTTGTGCTATTTTAAGAGCTGATGTAGGCTCCAAATTTAATTTATGCTTTTGTATGAAGCTTCAGCTCTGCTGAATAATAAAGCCATAAATAAGTCTCTTATTGCTTGGAAACTTCCCTTGCCCAACTCCTTGAAAAAAAAAACACAATGAACCAACAACCTAACCCTCTTAGCACTATACAAAAAATTCCAAATAAGTAAAGAATGTTACTCTTTACTAATCTCTTCTAGTTCTTCTTTATGGGATCTCCTCAAAGCTATCAACCAAGACACATGAAGAGAAATTGCAGTACATGAATCAGAGATCAAGTACATCAAGTAACAGTGACTTCTAGTGGACACTCACCATTTGCTGGCTTTCATCCAATACCAGAATAAACTGCTAATTTCCTACATTTCACTACAACACAAAACATAACGGCACAAACCTAGAGAAAAGAAGTAAATAAATTGCCATGCCTTGCTGTCTGGCTAATGATTATGTATCAAATAAAAGTCATTATTATAGGGCCAATCTAGACAAACCACAGTCTTGAAACCAAGAAGTGGGGACTTCAAGCTAGATTTGAAAATTAATATTTACAAAATCAAGACAACACTCAGATTAAATGTTTTAGTATGAAACAGTAGTCACGTTGTTACTCCTGTTGGTCAAAAGGTAAGTATGTGCTTTCAATACACACCACTATCAGACAAGAACTAACAGATATTCTTAAATATCCTCAGCTCTACTCTCTTCTGTCCTTACCAACCTGAGAAGGCTACCCTGGGACAACAGGAGGTTTGACCAGCAAAATGAGTTAGATACCAAAGTATGTAAAGTGAGCGGAAGTATTGATCACTTACAACTTACCAGTATTATTTATTATATGAATTTATAGTCCCATAGCAGAAATAGCATACACATAATTGTCTTTCCAGTTTTGTTTTTACAATTTATGAAAAGGGCTAAAAAAAATCGATTGAACTGAACTGCAAGTTTAAAAAAATCTCAGGTTGGGGGCGGGGGTGTCATTAACGCACAGAGGACATTGTCTATTGCAAACCAAGACCTCCTTAGAAAGGAAGCACTGAGGGTACCATGCAGTACCAAAACAATTACTTTGTTAATATTCAGATTCAGTAGAGACAAATTTGAGTCTTGTACTAACAATAGTGCCTGGTATCAGTAGACAAAGGAATATTTGCAGTCAAGGCAGCGTGTTATAAAAATAACACTGCAAACAACCACAGGGGCTTACACGGTTAATGCAATCTAGTTGTGAATAAATGTAAGGGTCTGTTATTGAAAACATGGCATCTGAAGCATCAACATCCAGGCTGGGTTACCTCTGGCAAAAATTAAACAAGAGATATCCAGCAACTGTGATCTGTTTAGTGAACTAAACAGCCTTTGTCATCTACCATATTTGATACTATGCTAGATTTTTCTTTTAATATAAAATGTATTTCACAAAAGACACCTGCTTACTAGTGGCTATGTGACCTGTGTATCCAAGTTGGGGCTTTCACAATTATTTCTCTTTCATTCTCCCACTCTAAATATGGGTCCTTCTCCCATTAGACACTGCTCAGTGGACACAAGGACATTATTGAAAACTATTATAAATCTATTTCCAGCTTTTCTGCAACTTCTACTTTGGTCATGCTTGTTAAGAAATTTAAGAACATGCATACTAGCCCTACCTGTATTGCATCAGAGAGTCAATATTCAGAAAGCAATAATCACTTGTTTTGACTTTTCCTCACCTGTGCTGCATCCACTGAAGCAAGTGTAAAATAGAAATCAGTTACAACACAGATCAACATTGCAGGATGTTTAACATTATAGCTTAAAACCAGGATATATCAGATCTAATCAGCTGTACCAGGCATGGAATTTTTAAGATGCCTTCCACTCTACAGTTTTAAGGAACAAGGGCAATATTGTTCTGGACAGAAAAATTATTGGAAATGAAAACCAGTTCTTTTCATTACATGTCAGGCATGTATGACTTACAAAAAATAACAGAGCTGCAAGGAGCCAAGAACAGTCTTCTGGAACTTTAGGCCACATGGCCTTTAATGCTAATGACAAACAAACAGACCTTTTATGTGCAGTGCCACTGCTTCACTCCACTCCCAACACCTCCTGGGAGGACACTGAATTACTCACATCATTTGCCAATACCACAAACACAAATTCTCTTACATTCAAACAAACAGGTCTAAATAAGTAAGAAACAAACTTACAACTCTGGTTCCTGAGGATCGACGTGTTGCTCTGACATTAGAAGTGTTCCTTGTGCTGGCTGGAGTTGCCAATGGAAGAGTAGTAGAAAGCTGAGGAGGACTGAAAGACATCAAAGGCAATCTGGAATCTCCTAATATGCATTGCTTGGAATTGCAATTTTTATTAGCAAGCCTCTCGTTTTTACTGTTTCCTGAGTCTCCATTACCAATCTCCGTTTTCTCCTCATTCTTGACTCTTCTCAAGCAGTCCTTTAGTATCAGCTGAGTTGCAGGCCGACTCAACCAGCACAAAAAGAGTTCATCCACCTTCATTTTCAGAACAGGTTGCAGAACTTTCCCTGCTGACATTTTCTACCAGTTTCCCTTTTTGTTGGCTTAAATTCAAAGCAGAGGTTTGACAAGAACTTACTTATTCCACTCGATTTTCAGTGTTTCACAGCCTCTAGGACTCCTGTTGAAAAAAACCCCCACTATTATTTAATCTTACATACACACTAGCATGTGACTACAACAACATATAGTAATTTTGTAAGTATAAGCCTTTAATCAGAGTCAAATCCAGAGGATAATTTATTTTCCAAGAATACTGTGTAAATGATGGAGATTAGAGAGAAAGCTACTGCACTCAGACTTTCTCAGAGCTATCTAACAAATATTCCCAAAAACCGTGTTAAGAAAATCCACATTTATTATGACAATCAGCCTTGAAAAGACTTATAACTGAACCTGCTAAGAACTAAATGTCTAAGCACTTTATGCAAAGCCTTGGTGACAATACAATTCAGATTTAAGAAGCAGGCCTTCAAGTCAAAAGATGTAGAGCTAAGACTGAAGGCTCTATTTTGAAGCCTGTACTTCTTACTTAAAGACCTTGCACTGCGCATTGCAGCCCAAGATGCATCCTCACGAGTGGTGCCCTGCCTTCTCCAAGACCCTTCCTCAGCAGTTGATTTGCCTGCTCATTTAGCACCACTGAGTAATTTGGCATTTTAAGAATGGATCTATTTGACATCCACGTTTCCAGCTTTTTAAAGCTGATGTAAAACATGATGTGATCGGAGAACTGGGACAGTACAATTTCAGGTTCAGCTGCTCACCTGACACAGAATACATGAACCTTCAGGGAGCCAGGGGACTGGAGTTACACACTAGAGAACAGAGTGCAAGTTACCCGGGTCACCTCTGCAAGCACTGGAACTTGGAAACCAGTAACACCCAGCCAACCGATGCGCTGTTACAACCAGAGCCCAGCCCTCACCCCACAGCAGCACTCAAAACCTCGCCACAGCTCACCAGTTACACGTTTTAACCCGCGATGCCCAACAACCCCGCAGCTCAGCGCTGCTGCT